CACATACATATACATATATACACATACATATACATATATACACATACATATACATATATACACATACATATACATATATACACATACATATACATATATACACATACATATACATATATACACATACATATACATATATACACATACATATACATATATACACATACATATACATATATACACATACATATACATATATACACATACATATACATATATACACATACATATACATATATACACATACATATACATATATACACATACATATACATATATACACATACATATACATATATACACATACATATACATATATACACATACATATACATATATACACATACATATACATATATACACATACATATACATATATACACATACATATACATATATACACATACATATACATATATACACATACATATACATATATACACATACATATACATATATACACATACATATACATATATACACATACATATACATATATACACATACATATACATATATACACATACATATACATATATACACATACATATACATATATACACATACATATACATATATACACATACATATACATATATACACATACATATACATATATACACATACATATACATATATACACATACATATACATATATACACATACATATACATATATACACATACATATACATATATACACATACATATACATATATACACATACATATACATATATACACATACATATACATATATACACATACATATACATATATACACATACATATACATATATACACATACATATACATATATACACATACATATACATATATACACATACATATACATATATACACATACATATACATATATACACATACATATACATATATACACATACATATACATATATACACATACATATACATATATACACATACATATACATATATACACCTATGTAATCAGAAGGGATCTTATGATGTCAGGGAAGCCTTGTAATAAAAAAAGACTCAGTTACTTACAAGTAGAAGAATGTTTAAGACGACAGTAGATAAATGAGGAAAGATTTTTACTTGTGCAATTATATAGTATTTGTTTTTCCTTTTCTTTCATTTTCTGATTATTTAGGGTATCACTTTGAATACTAGAATTCTTGAACATTTTGATGTGTGGAGAGACCCCTTATTTTAAAATATGTATAATGTGTTTTATATTTATTACCCCCCCCTACCTTATGTTAAAATGGAATGTTCTCACCAGCTAGATATCATAATGGGTACAAAACTCCGCAGCCATTCATTTATCGTCATGCGCATTATTGAGTACTTTTTTCCGAACTTTCTGCTCCTTGTTGATTATCATTAGTAAATATGCAGCAAATTATGATACAGACGGTATACTTCTTTTTTTTTTTTTACTTAATGGATTACTTAGTTCTCATTCATAAAAGAGTGACTTAAGAACCATCAGTAGAGGGTAATTTCTTTATTTATTAACTTTTTTTTCTGTACATCTGATGATATATAAGAAAATTCAGTAATCTCGTTATTACTGAAACAATGAGGGTATTCTTTTTTTGGATATTGCCTCTACTGTTGTGTCGCAGCCTTTTCAGATTGGTATAAGGAATATATAATTTTTAGATTTATAGTATTGGAAAGTAATTCTCAACAGAATTCAATCATTGCCCCAGTTTCCACTATATTGTTTACATCTAGTACTGAACTCGCTCTGAGAAGGTTGTTATTGAGCTGCCTCAAGTACAGGACGCTGTGTCAGGGAGCCAACCTGTCTTTATCATTTTAATATCAAACATTTAAACTTTTTTGCCAATTGGGGAGAGATTATATTATTGTAAATGGTAATTTGCAACGCTAACTGTATGGGTAGATATGTTATAAAGAGTGATTGTTTATTAATTATGAAATAATGATTCAAATTTAAGATTACATGTAGATATCCATATAAATAGCATAAATTGTGATTATAATAAAAATGTATACATGATACCTATAAAGTTGTTTTAATTCCCACAAGGAACTATGCAATAACAGAGTCACTAAAAGCCAACCAAATATTTTACATTTATATTACGAGGTACTGTATATAAATTAAACAAATTTATTAAGACACAAACAGAATATGCTTGAACATCTTTGCCAGTATATGAATTCTGGAAAAATGAAAGTGCTGGGGAGGTTGAGGAGTGATGTGGTCAAAATGACGAACTATTGTTTCTTTCTAAAATGTTTAATCTCTTATGGAAAACACAATAATAATTTTAAACACAAGTACGTGATATTTCAATAACTATTTTGATACAGACAGCTAATTTTTGTTGCTGTTAAATGAAAAGTGTCATTATGGTGAGTTCACCCCCAAGTGCATTGATTATAGATTCATATTGATGGCAAAACAAAGAGAACCCCTCCCCCCCCTCAAAAAAAAAAAATAAATAAATAAAATAAAATTGTGACCAAATACCATGGCTAACACACATTTTTCCTTTCTTTTTAGTCTCTTAGTCAATGCCTGAATTCAATATTCAACCTACCAGCAGCATTGACAGGCAACCTACTTTTTACCTTTATATATCTGTCCATGTCTATGTTAGATTTCCTAAATATCTAAACCTAGTCCCCATATGTCATTCTGAAGTCTGAAACTTTCAGCTTCTAATGGCATCAGGCATGTTTTTTTTCCGTTAGACCAATCGATCTCTCACAATAACACAGTATTTATATTTGGTGACTTAGTTGTATTGATTGTGTCCAATACACATTGCTATATTTTATTCTCGAGCAGTGTAAAGGCAGTAGCACTTTCATCATGATTCAGAATACATGGCTGGTTAAACCATGTTTATTGCAACAAATTTCGAAAAAGTATGAATGAGAATGAATATCTTGACAGTGCAAGAAATGTATTTGAACCATATTGATTTTATATTATATAGATGTATTTTTTTACGAAAATGGTCAAATACACCCCTTGTACTGTTACAATATCAATTCTCATTTCATACATTTTCTACATATATAGGTCTAGTTATAGCTTGGAAATACCCCAAGAATAGCTAGTTTTTCCAAATTTTTGTTTGCTTCACTCGCCAACCAACCCTTGCAACCCCCAATAAAAGCTGAAATGACGACCCTGGTTTGGTTACAGGAGCACCAGAGACTTTAAAGTTGATCTGAAACATTTTCACTTTTTTTTTTCTTTTACTTTTACTTTTACTTTTCCATGTCCATTCCTTCCTCTGAACTTTCACATTTTGATCTGGAGCTTCTAAACTTTCAGCTGTTTATTTTATTATTGGGTCAGAAACTTATAGGCTTTTTGACGTTCATTTCATCTTTTGATTTGAAGCTTCAAAACTTTCTGACACTTACTTCCATCTTTTGATTTGAAGCTTCGAAACTGTCTGTTGTCAATTTCTAATCTGAAGCTTTCGATTTTTTTTCCCTTTCTTCTTTTTCTTTGAAACTTCTTGAATGTTTAACATCTATTTCATTGTTTGATCAAAATCTTGCACATCTCTATCATCATGTGTATTGCAGAAGTGCACCTAAAGATTCAGATAACGGCATAGTGGAACAGGAATTGAGTATTTCAAACAACATCCGATGTCAGATTTGTGTATGTTATAATTTAGCATAGCTTTAGTTTGAATTATGTATATAAATTCGAAGCCGCAAAGTTGCCTTTCAAAGAGAGAGAGAGAGAGAGAGAGCGAGAGAGAGAGAGAGAGAGAGAGAGAGAGAGAGAGAGAGAGAGAGAGAGAGAGAGAGAGAGAGAGAGAGAGAGAGAGAGAGGCAGAGAGAGAGAGAGAGAGAGACAGAGACAGAGACAGTTCCCTGTTTTCTTGTTATCATGTCATCCTATCTTTCCACGTCTTGTGTATATTTAATCGAGGTAAAAACAAGGCGTGGGATGTACGAGGAAATAAGAATAAGCTTTATTTTCGCATCACATTCAGTATCAATGTATATTATGACAAAATGTATATTATGACAGCACTTCTGAATATTTCACTATCACATTCAGTACTGTAATATTACACATAAATTTAAACTAATCTGGGTTGCAAAAGGCTAAAACAAGTATAGGTCTTTTTATGGCTTGATCACAGTAAAAGGTCAGTATTCCTATGATTAAAATTATTTACAGTGAAAAACAAGTGAAAATGAGAGCGAAATTATGAGGATTCATGCATTCATTTTTTCTAAATATGGTTAAACCAAACAAATTACTTATACAGTAAAACGAAAGTTGAAGTTTATTTTGACTAAACATCTACAGTTATCACTGAACATTTAACACTGATGTACAGAACCAAGAATTAACCATCATACTTCAGAACACTACGCAGACTAAAGGTTACACAAAGGCATGGAATATAACAGAGCACAGGCCTTGTATACTGTGGGAGGGCCGACGACCGTGACCCTGACAAGCCTGTTCCACTTTCGTCCTCCCCTTCACCCCGCGGAGGAATATTTCATCGGGCGTCGGTCGCCGACTTACAACTGTGGTGTGGGAGGATACATGCAGTGCATGATAACCACCCACAGGTGAGGTAAGTTTATCCTGTCCCATTTACGTATTTGTAGTGAATCTTGCGACGTTATTGTAGTGTATATATATATATATATATATATATATATATATATATATATATATATATATATATATATATATAATCCTGATCCAACCAGTTTAGGTCATGGTCTCTGGCCGGCGGAGAGTTCGGAGGATCAACTTTAAGTGTTGATTCAGTAACGTCTTTTCAGCCTAAAGGAGGCACAGCGAATACCTCCGGTGTAAAGAGAAAATTATATGCTTACAGAACCCTGACGTGTACAGCAAATAGATCCGCTGGAGAAAATCAAATTACGACCCGAAGGAACTTTGTAAAGGTGAAAAAGTAGTCTGCCCGCACACCGATTCGGGTGAAGGGCCGAAGAAGGCCTCGGGATTCGTCGGAATTCAGCCCGAGGGAGAGAAGCTGTTGGAGGAAGGGAGGGTTAGTTAGACCATTTGAAGACGAGAGGGAGCGTGACGAGCGGGTCGGCGGAGCGGGGGTTCTTCATCCACAGCGTCCACGTCTTCTCCTCCAAGTCGAACACACCTGCGAGTTAGAACAAACCCTGATATATTGTGGTGGGCGAATTAAACGTTTTAGTGTCTTAGTGACTTTTGATATAGTGTAATCCACAAACATCATTTAATAACATTTTCTTCTGTTCCTTCTGCGAAATGATATGGTCTTTACACCTTATATTTCTGAAACCAATGTTTATACTTATTAACGTTATAAATACCATCTGTAACAAAGCTATTAGAAAGCTGCTGCGATGAGGAACTCTATCAAAGACGTCCAGACATCAGACATGAAACTAGCCTTCTCAAATCTTACTGAACTGAAGCTTAACATACCGAGCGTGATGGTCTTAACGAAGTCAGGATCCCCGCCCTCCCTGAAGAAGGGATAGGTGGCGTCCTCGGTGTCAGAGAGCAGGGCCAGCAAAGCGGCGCGTGTTGTGGGCGGGCAGCAGCTATGGGCGCGGGTGTGTCGGTGGTTGCTACTCTCCATACAAAGCCCCTCGTCTTCGGGCACCTCCAGGCGAAGATACCTGACGAAGGGAGAGGGGAGTTTAGGGTTCGAAATGAATGTCCAGATAGGTGTATGCTAATAATTCGCATCCAGAGAGAGAAAGAGAGAGAGGGGGAGGGGAGAGAGAGAGAGAGAGAGAGAGAGAGAGAGAGAGAGAGAGAGAGAGAGAGAGAGAGAGAGAGAGAGAGAAAGAGAGAGAGAAAGAAAGAGAGAAAGAAAGAAAGAAAGAAAGAAAGAAAGAAAGAAAGAAAGAAAGAGAGAAAGAAAGAAAGAAAGGGAAAGAAAGAGAGAGAGAGAAAGAAAGAGAGAGAGAGAAAGAAAGAAAGAGAGAGAAAGAAAGAGAGAGAGAGAGAGAGAGAGAGAGAGAGAGAGAGAGAGAGAGAGAGAGAGAGAGAGAGAGAGAGAGAGAGAGAGAGAAAAGGGAAGAAAAGATGCTTACTTGTTCGTATGTAGCAGATGCTCCCCTGGGCTTATGGTGAGAATAGACATGGGGCTCTCGTCACCTTCTTCTGCAGGTCCCACTTCGGCGTTATGGAACAGGTGGTCGCCTTCTTGCCTCGTGAAACTCATGTTGACACTGAAGCCGTCGGCAGAACCCGTCCCTCGGTCACGCAGAATTTGCTGCGCTTGCATCATCGTCTCGGCAGCCAGGAGAGCTCGACACAAGAAATGGCGGGCTGGTGGGCAAAGGAGTTATTGCAGGCGGGGAAAGTGAATAGACATCGATGTATCAACTACCATTGTGTGAAAAAAATACAATGGTAGTTGATACATCGATGTCTATTCACTTTCCCGACATCTTATAAAACACCTTAAAAAAAGAAAAGAAAAAAAAAAGAAATTCAACTCACGTGTTTTTCCCGCCAAAACCTTCTTGGGGCTAATGACGTTAATGGAATAAACGAGACCGTGATGATTGTATCCCATGCAGAAGCCCGGGAGATGCCCTGCGTAACAAAGTGCCGTGAAGCCCTCCGTCTTCGTACCGTTCTTGCCCTGCGGTTCTTCCTCATGAATGTGGGCGCTCACCAAGTAGGCGTGGTTTAGGGTCTCCGGGAGGGCGTCTTCCGTGTGGCCGAGAAGGACCTGAGGAGGAAGGCGGGTTGGTAGAAGGCGATGATTAGTTACTGCAACTGCAACTCGTTATCAACTGATTTGCTTTCAATAATTGAATTAAGTATTGGTATGGGTAATATGGTATGCAAATTCACCGTTATTTGTATTTGTCTTCACGACAGACATAAGATTGAGACACACATATCCATACCTAGTGCTCGAAGTAAATAAAATAGATACCAATATATCAGAGTTGACTATTAATGCAGCAACTTTAAGTAAGTTAATCAATACATGACTTCACATGTGCTAAACTGCGTAGTGTATCAACAAAATTGCGACCCACATCCTACGTTGACATTATTGCACAAAACCCTAAAGTAAGTAATTCGATTAACACACAAAAAGTAAATTACTCATACCTGTCATGATAATATCTCTTATCAGGATGCAAAACAGAAGAAAAATACATTTCTTTAAACATCTAATGACAGTTTCAACTTTGGATTTTGATATGAAAAGTAATGAGGAAATATCTAATATTAGAGAAGCGAGTCGCGAAGCATGCTACTTCTCACGTAAAACCACAATTTTTCCTTTACTGTGTATAACTCTGCCATCACTATTTTCACTACCCTTATTTTACTCGTTTTTCTCATTATTGTTTTTTACCATCAGTATCGAGATCAATATTATCAGGACTTTAATATAAACTACTTTAATGTAAACTATTGACGCTTCTGTACGCAGGTATGAAGCGCCACGTAAGCTTTACGTAAAAAGACATAAGGGTCGAGAAGACTAATAGGTTCCGCGTA